TGCCTTTCAATCAATCAATTGACCTAGGGTTGACCCAGGGTTGACCTAGATGAGACCCTAGTTGACTGTCTTCAACTGCAACTCTTGTGATCAAATCAATGACTTGCCTCCTTCTCCAAATTACTTTTTAAGTCTCCCATGAGGTCTATATACTCTCCATGCTCAATTCACAGCCCACAACTTCTTTGATGATCCCCAGATACCCTCAGATAGGAGATAGATGCACTGCTTGATCCACTAACTTCTTAGCTTTCAAATTCTTTCTGATGACTTGGATGTGCTTGAATTTGAACAATAACCTCTTGATAGGCTCATAGAGATAAGAATAGTGCTTGGTCCCTTGTTGGATGACTTGCTATGCTATGCTATGCAGATGCTTAGACTATGTACATGACTCTATATGCAAATGCTAATGCAATTGAAACATAAACCAAGTGAAGTAGGTTGAGCAAATTTTAGGGTGCAACATATACACGCAATTAAACTACACCTAATCATTTTTTGATTGGGTGACCATCTAGATTAGGGTTGATAACGTCCAATTAGGTTGGTGTAATCGGGAATATTGGGTTGAGATCTTTGCGTGTTTCAAATAAGAAAACCAAGTTGGGATTTTCCTTCAAGATCATTGTGATTTGGAGGTTTTGGACAAGATCACGCAAATACGAATTCGGCCGAGTGAAGGCCTTGGCACAAGGTGGTTCCTTGCAAGGGATTAGCGCGAGACGGTGGATCGTGTTCGTGAATCTTGAGTTCAACAAGTGCGTGCTAGGGATTAATCTGACTGAGAAAAAACCTTGAAGACAAGGAAGTTTTGCAAGCAAGTAGTCAAGAACTGGTGGAGAATCAACAACAAAACATTGGGTTTGTGGGGTTAGAGTTCTTCATCTTTTGTATAAATATTTTTTCAAAGGTAAGGTTAATTGCAAGTATCTCAATTCAATTTTGAATTGAGGACAGACATACCCATAGCGAGGCCGATTGGGAAACTGCCTAAAAAAATCTCTCTCACACACACTCTCTCTCTCTCTCTCTCTCTCTCTCTCTCTCTCTCTCACTCACTCTCTCTCTCTCTCTCTCTCTCTCTCTCTCTCTCAATATCTTTCTGATTGTTGTTCTTGCAAATTAGCGAGTTCATTGTTGTTTTAATCAATTTGATTAAAAATTATGTTTCAACTATCTTTTAAAGTGTTGTTGTTGATATAATTATAATCAATTTGATTATGATTAGATTTTAACATCAACAAAACAAATTGAATTTCCAAACGTCAGTGATCGCATACAAAGTGTTCGATAAATTTCCTTTGAGTACTTTTATTGATTTTTGTTTATTGGAAATAAGCTCTACGCATAACTTAATATTTAATTGATTTGTGAATTAATAGTTGTTGAACAATTTGTGTTCATTATCATCCAATTGGTTTACGTTACACATATCTAACCTTTTTAATAGTAGGTTCAGTTAGACGATTCGATTCGGGTTGTTTCCATTGTGCCATAAAACTTTTGATATTTTTTTTGTGCCAAAAGTTATGTTTTTAAATTTGTGATCTATTCACCCCCTTAGATTGAAGCCTATCGTCTAACAGTTTTGGTTAATTGATTTGATTAATTACATTCAATTAATTTGATTATATTTAACCATACTAATTTGGTTAATTGGATTATTTGACCACGTTAAATCTTTTCAAATATTTTTGATAACCAATTTTAATTAGTCTAGTTAATTGGCTTTAATTAATTAATTATATGGTAATTCATTTGATTATATGGTTAATAATTCTCAATATTTGGTTAAGTGTATCTTTTTCCCTTGGATTGTATTGTATGCTCATTGTTTTTTATTGCTTTCCAATTGGTTATTTTGTTACCTTAGCTAATTCTTAACTCAAAGATAAAAAATCAACGTTAAAAAATTAATCAACTTCGAACATTTGATCCAACATCAAGTTGTCCCTTTTTTCAAAATATGTTTATAACATAAAATGGACTGAAAAAGGATTAAATGGGTGCAGGCTCTCTTTTTCCCTGAGTGTTTAAACACTGTTGTAGAGCTCCATCTACAAAACCCCATCTTTCATATTAAAACAAAATAATCAATTGAATTAAATTGGTTCTTCTATAGAAGAAAAAAGGTGATTGGGTGTAGAATCTATCTGACCAATTGTTCAGACACTGCTGTAGAGCTCCCTATGTGAATTTTCATCTTCCATTAACTAACTTTGACTTAATCCGCCACACATCTTTCACAAATATTTAGAAGATAAAGGATGAGTGGATGTAGACATTCTTTCTCTGATTATTCAGACATTGTTGTAGAGCTCCCTGTCTGAATACTTGTCTTCAGACTAAAAACAATCTCAACACATCAAACTCTATTTTTCTCCTTAGGGAAAAGGTTGAAAAATTTCATAAAGTAACATGTTATATTTTTTATCGAAATACGAAGGAACGCTTAAGCCTCCCATGCACGAGCAAACAAGCAACGTTTAACTACTAGAACGTGACCTTAACATCATTCAATAAAATAAACCAATAAAGACATATTTTCTACCACGAACTGCAAAGCTCTGATTTTCTTATTGCACCGTGAAAATATACGTAGGCACAAGGTTTCGAAATCTTGACAAGCACATTAATTAGAAAACTTATTTTTTCCCAAAATTAAAACCTTAAAAAATCAAACAATAAACTAGTAATCACAATTAACTTTTAGCTAACACCCATATACGCAAGACGATTAAAATGGTTCTCTTTGAGTACAACGGATGTGAGGGGTGCTAATACCTTCTCCTTGCATAACCGACTCTTGTACAAGCTCTTGGTTACGATGACCATACCTTTTCCTTTTTATGCTTGGGGTTTTATCGTTATTTTCTCTTTCCTTTGGAATAAAAAAAGTTCAGTGGAGACTCTGTTTATATTTCGAGTGTTCCTCGCGCTTGGGTATTTTTCATGGCGCAACAGTTGGTGACTCGATTGAGGACATCTTAAGCAAGTCAGCACCAAATTGGATTAGTCAAGAATATCTTCGAGGAAGCCTTAGAATTTGAAGAAGGAGACAAATTTATCTTTCCTTTGTTATGCGATTATGGATTAAGGATGGAATAAAATGACGGTCTGAACAACTCAACCTCTTATATTGTATTCAAAGATTGGGCCATAGAATAAAATGGCTTTTGATATTTTCCGGTGTCACCACCAGGATCAACGGATCCATATAACGCAGACTCAATAACTTTGCAACAAGCCCTTTTGTCTTTGGACCAAACACACGCTACCTTTGGATTTTCCTGGCCCACATTTGTTGCCACCTTCACCTCCATGTGTCTTATCTTCTACTGACGGTAAGGTGTCTATCTTGTTCACCTTTTCACCAACCTCTATAACCTTTTCAGTAATAGCCACGTCTCCTCCACTTCAATCCACCTTTCCAAGAAAGATAAGTGACCCCTTTTCCACCCACTATAAAAAAAACCCTTCGATGTTAACGTAAGGCCCTACATCCGCTAAAGCGGCGTTTTCTTTTGAAACTTTATATGAAGCTTCTCCAACTTCCTCTTTGAAAATAGAGCCTTCATCATCGTTATCAAACTAACTCGCTGGAGTATCTCCGTCCTTTAAATCTGTAGCCTCCTCCGCACCTAAAGGATCGTCACCGCCCAAATCAACCGACCCTGAAAAGTATTCCAAAATCAGAATCCTAAGCACCCCCCCTTAATCTTAACCGAAATATGTTCATTTAAAATCATGAAGCTTCTTGTACTTATCCTGATCCTAATACATTCCATCTGCGATTTCGCTGAAGTTAGGCCATCATAACAGATGAAATTTCCAAACATTTTGGACATGAATTTGAAAAAATGATCATTCCAAAAATGACAAGGTATGCCCTACAACCTCAGCCAAATTACTCTCTCTAATTCAACATCACCAGCTCTCCATGGCCTAATTTGCTTAAACCATTTGTTCAACCAGTCTTGATCTCTGACAATTATTTCATCAAGCATGCATGTATCTCTTTCTTCTAGCAAGCAAAGATTTGGACCTAAGGGGGTGATTTTTAATTTAAAATAATCCTCCATGTTGAAAACCTCCTACAACTTAAATGTCGTCCCCAGTTTCTCCACCACCCCTTTGCAAGCTTTCTCAAACCTTAAACTATCCCCAGATTCCCAATAAAAATACTCCACCTGAGGAAACGAAATCGGACACTGAGTGTCAGCCTTATCCTTAAGAGTGTCTTCCTCTGCAACGCCTCCCGTCACCCTGTTCCTAACCACATTCGTGAATGATCTGGTTCCTTAAATACTTCCACCATGAACACTCATATCACTAGGATACATGCCTGAAGAAAACTTGACCTTACCACCCTTTACCTGCCTGAAGAAAATGTTGTCAAGTTTAATTGCTAAAAATTTATCGTCTTCCACATTAAAGAATCTAACAAAGCCATATCGCTTCCCACAAATATCTCTCTTTGAAGGGACGACGACCTCGTCAATCTCTCCAAAACATTTGAACTCTTCCAACATGTCCCTTACTGTAAACTCATATGGAAAAGAAGTGAAGAAGAACGTAGAACTATCATCTGGGAAAGATTTGATTATGATTTAGCACACAATATTTATGAGTTAAGTTAAGTGAAATTTTTTTTGTGTCGTTTCACTGACATATTATCCGATATGTTGAGTTTAGTGCGAACTCCTCACCTTTTTCCCATCACCGGCCTCCACTCTTCATCTCCCAAAGAAAAGAGTCAAGTTGATGATAACTCGTGACGATCATGATCATTTCAATTTAATTAATTAAAGAAAAAAATTGTTACTCAATAAATGTTAGATAACTATATATAATATTAAATCATCAAGTCAAGTCTTAACCTAAACTAAATGAGAGATTGTTAAATTATTTTACTAAAAACATTAATTTAACTCATGTAAACAATTCCTTATTCATAGTAATTCTATTGTGAGAGTATAATAAAACCAAAACAACAATCAAGGATGTTGGTTCCCAAAAGTAGTGGTTGTAGGTTGAAGATCCAATAGTAGCCCTCCTATGAATTCAACAAAAGGGAAAGCAATCGGGTCGTCGTTTGTCTTCATTTTCCACCTGTTGCAAGTTTTCTAATAATATTAGCATCACAATCTCATAACTATGAATTAGCTAATAAGTTGAAGTACCTGTAACTAAGGATAAGATGGTGAAGGAAGAATGCTATCTCCACTTTAGCTAGATCAGCCCCTGGACAGAGTCGTGGACCACCACCAAATGGCGCAACTTTCTTGTCTTGTCCAATGCCACATACATTCCATCGAAAGGGATTGAATTCCAATGCATTTTCGAAATTATTGGGATCCAAATGTGGTGCTAACAACACAGGAAAAACCTTCCACCCCGCTGGTATCACAAACTCTGCGAACATTTTTTAATGTGTCACAATTATTTAATTTAGTACAAACTTCATATCCAAAGTTTATTAATACACAAATATCAAATACCTTTGAATTTGATATCTGTAGTAGCTTTTCTGTGCAGATATTTCACAACATTCCCACATCTCATTGCTTCATTAATCACCTATTATCGATATCACACTTGAGAAAAAACATAATCATAATGCTACAAGTTATTTCTTGAAACTTAATAGGTTCATTCATAACTTCTTACATTTTGTGTGAACTCCATTTTCTTATAGTCTTCCCAATTCAATAGCTCACCTTCCATTTTACTTTTCCTTATCATTTCATGCTCTTCCTGCAATGCTTTTACTTGGTTAGTTTAACAAAAATTAGTAATATATTGTTCGATCTATGTGTTGATTATGCGAATCCGAATCCGTACCTTTAAGCATTTTAAAGCATCTGGGGCTCCATCAAGGAAGTATACAATCAATGACAGAAGTTTTGAGGTTGTCTCATATCCCCCAAACAAAAGGTCTAAAACAATGCTCACCATCTCTTCATCACTTAAATTCTCCTTTGATAGAATCAAATTCAACAGGTCCACTCCTTCCACTTCCACATTATTAGCTTTACGCCTCTCCGCTATAATATCTTTGATAATAGACGATAGTCGTAACCTAGCCTAAAACAAACCAAAAATAGAAAAGTTTCATATTAGAATTAATTATTTATGAGTAAATTCATGTATTAATCATTAGTACCTTCACAGCATTGGAGTATATAGTCCCTGGAAAATTTAAGGGAAGTGAAATGAAGCCTTTTATGTATTTTTCAAAGTTGTCCAAAATCTTGGAGGCTAGGGGATCATTAGGGTTCATATTCAGAAGGTGCTTCAGCATAACATTGATGGAAAACTGTTTAGAAGATAAAGAAACAAAACATATTTCAATCAGTAAATGTTATATTCAGGAAAAGATAGGAGCATGCATGCATACCTTTTTAGCTTCTGTATAGAAAGCAACTTGTTTGCAATTTGAGCCCCATGAGTTAATCCTTGAAATTGCAAGCATTTCAACAAAGTGAAGGAAATTGGATTCAGATTTGGATGCACTCACAAAACTGATAACTGTGCTTCTTAGCTTCTTGTGAAGTTCTCCTGTGACAAGAATTAGGGCATATTTCCCTAAGATTTTGTGCATTACTTTTGGGTAGTCAACTGGGAATAGTTTCCCCTCATTTTGAAGAATAAACATGTTGAACTCATAGTCACATGAAACTATGGTGGGAGAGCCAAATATATGCGACTTGAAAACTTTTCCATATCTGCATAACAAAGTTTAGTCATTTATACATGTTTATGTTATAATATAAAAGAAAAACCAAACTCTAATATTGTCTAAAAGACAAAACAGTTTGACGATTTATCAAGATATCAATTCCAATAAAATAAGATGTACTGAAAGAACAATTCATCAACGTTTAACAACTTTCTTAAAAAATAGAATCTTTATGCGATTTCAAAATGGACGAAACCGTTGTGTGCTAAAAATCATAGTCAAATCGGATTAAAAGCTAATATTATCCGTTAAGAATATAAAAATCTCTAAGACCCTAAAAATTCACTAGGCAAAACAAAAAGCTAACCCTAAACTACCTAAGTATTTTATACCACAAACAAGCCACCATCTCATTAGAAACAAACATATAGAAAGACATCTTAAGAACATCAAGGCATAAAGTACAGGAGCTGTCTTTTGGGTCCAGAATGATTGGACGCTTGAACGAATTAACTCTAGTTTGAATTGTATCAAGACAACCACTTTAAAGGGTGTTAAGTTCTCCGAGATGAGAGAACTATCGAACCAACGCTAAACTGAGAGTTACTTGCACTAAGTAGAGAAAGTACGCCAACGTCAATGAGTAAACACATTCCTTATCATAACACCACCATCAGAGATCCTTATTAGGGAGAGACTGACACCCTCGATAAGAAGAAAAAGAATAGTGATCAACTCAAGTTTCTAAGCAAAAATATTCATCCTTTATTAATGATCTCGAAACATAACATCATCTTCTCAACGACCTACATCCCACACTATTATATTATGATGGAGGGAGACCCATTGACCATCCACAGAAGTCTAGGAAGGGTGTTCTTCGGGGGCTCTGAACCAACCCATAGACCATCACAAAAAAATGTATGAAAACTTCAACCCACTTTTTTAGACATATCTTATATAAATCAATCAGGCTAGGCCAATGGATTGGAGCGAATAAGGGTGACTCTGTTCCACAAGAGGGAGGTCAACCTTAAAGATGACGACCTACCCCATCAAGGGACAAGGCCGCATGAGAAGGACCATATATAGAAATAAGGATATCACGCCAAACTAGGAGCATATAAAACCATCCTTTAACGCCATTTCTCAAGTAGAGCCAAATCAACAAGATAAAGATCGTAGACCCTACTTTATTCAGGAGATTTTATTCTCACACTTAAAACCCTCGTCCTATTGGGGAGTCATGGGAAATTAGAAGCACCAAAGACCGCCTAATACTCTAGAAGAGAAATGTCACGTCTTCATCCAAAATCTTAAAGCATTAAGTGTATGAGTTATCTCTCTTATAAATCTAATATTTTATTCATTTATAGTCAATGTGGGACTTAACCACTCATACTTACTCCCAACATCTCAAAGGAACATTATCATAATCTTAATAGTATTCTTGTAGACCTTAATAAGCATTTTCAAGACAACAATAAAAGATCAGGACGAGTTAAAGAGAACCCACAAAAAAATAGAAGGTCAGGACGAGTTAAGGAGAACTGATGGAAAAATAGAAGATTAGGACGAGTTCAGAAGACCCCCCCCCCCCCCCCCCCCCAAATGTCGGCTCCAAGAGAGGGTTCGTTTATAAATAAGCCTTATAAAAGGCTCCCATGTAATTTTAAAGTGATGACTAACACCTATTAGAAGGCTAAGAAATTTACTCTCGTTGGCGAAAAAAAATCCTATGCCAAATCTTAAAAATATAACCCAAAGATTTATAGAAAAGTTAACATTAAGTCTAGAGAAAAGCTCGAAAACCCCGAGGATAGACTTAATGGTCCTAAGATTTTTTATGGATGGATCCACAAGATCAAGGTGTCATCTACATAATAGAGATGAAAAAATATCAAACTAGAGAACCTCATTTTAAATAAAAAAAAAAACCATATCCATTATAGTTTACTACCACTACCGAGAAAAGGAACGGGGTTAAGAGATATCCTTACTTTAGACCTTTTTTAGTATTAATCTGATGAATTGGGCGATAATTGTTAGAATTAGTAATTCATTATTTAGAAGTTGTTGCAGTATTCGATTAAGTTAATGTAAAATGTTTCGATATAGTCGAATACATAATGTAGTAACTGATGCATGTAAATTGTATTCAACATAGTCGAATACAACATGGAGTAGTTGAAGTATGTTAGCACTATTCGACAGGGTCAAATACAACATGTTGTAGTTGAAATGAGGTAATATGTATTCGACTTTATCGAATACATCTTGTAATAGTCAAGTTTTTTTAGTTGTTTATAAATATGCATGTGGTGTTGTATAATCATAAGCACTGTATAACAACTTTCTCTTTTCATAAAACAATTGTTTTTCTCATTACTCTCTCTTCTTTATTCTTGAACAACCTTTCGATCTAACAAATTGGTATCAACGAGGCCGATTGCAATTAAGTCAAAATGATAAACAATAACACAATATCAACGCAATTTCCTACAAATCTATCCATTTTTCAAAGGTGAGAACTATGAGAGGTAGGTTGCACAAATGGAGGTCATCTTTAGATTTTACGATGTGGCTGAAATCGTGAGTGATAGGGTACCTGCATTAGAAGCAAATGCAAGTGATGTTCAGAAGATTGCACACAAGGAACAAAGAAAGAAAGATAGAAAGGATCTTTTCTTGATCCATCAATGTGTGTATTCTAATGTTTTCGAGAAGATCATTAAAGAAAAGATGTCCAAGGAAATGTGGGACAAGTTAAAGAACTTGTATGTTGGAGATGAGAAAGTGAAGAGGGTGAAGTTGTAGACGCTGAGAAAGCAGATTGAGATGACACAAATGAAAGAAGATGAATTAGTCACTGATTTCCTTTCAAGATTAGTGTTACTCACCAACCAGGTGAAGGCTTGTGGGGAATTAATTTGTGATTTGCGAAAGATCGAAAAAGTGTTGAGATCTTTAGCTGCAAGTTTTGATTACATTATAGTGTCGATAGAAGAATCCAAGAATCTTTCTAAAATGAAGTTGGAGGAACTTCAACCTTCATTAGAGACTCATGATATGATATTGAAGCAAAGAAATTCAGAAAGGGAGAAGGTAGCTGAGCAGGATCCACAAGAAAATTTTTCTAAGAAATCTTGAAAGGGAAATGAGAAGAAGAAAATAAATTAAGTTATAATTGAGAATTTAAGAAGGAATTCAAAGAATCATAATGATTCCACCAAGAAATACATGATCAAACAAGTATGCGAGGAAGAAAGATGACATGAAGGAGGTGTAGTGCTACAGTTGTCAAGGACTGAGTCATTATGCATGAGATTGTCAAAGAAAGAAGGAATCAAAAGCAAACGATAACGAAGAAGTACAATATGCACAAGCTGGAGAAAGTTATTCTAATAATGTGCTACTCATGGCCAATACCCAGTCAAATGATGAACAAGACAATATGTGGTATCTTGACTCAGGATGCAGCAACCACATGACTGGAAATAAAAGTTGGTTCATCAAGTTAGATGAATCGATTAAGAAAGTGGTCAAGTTTGTAGATGGTAAGCATGTTACACCAGGTGGAAAAGGAAACATATTTATGGTTAGATAGGATGGTCAGAAAGTCGGTGTCACTGATGTATTGTATGTACCTTCGATGGAAAGTAATTTGATAAGCATATGTCAATTACTTGAAAAATGGTACAACGTGAAGTTGGAAAGAATCAGATGAAGGTGTACTATAGAGAAGGAAGGATGATCTTGAAAGCACCACTAGCAGACAACCATACCTTGAAAGTAGAGATCAAGACAGTTGATCATAAATGTCTGAGTTTAAATGTCAATGGAGACGAAGACTGGCTTTGACATCATAGGTATGGACACCTAAACTTCAAAAGTCTAGGTATGCTCAACCTGAAGAAGATGGTGTATGGCCTACCTCAAGTAAAGGAACCAATTCATGTGTGTGAGGAACGTTACAAGGTAGAGCAGGCCAAGAAAGCATTCAAACATGACGTGCCCATGAAGTCAACATAAAAGCTATAACTTGTTCACTCTAACGTGTGTTTACCTTTTAAAGTCAGATCAAATGGATGCAATTGCTATTTCCTAACATTCATATACGATTTCACCAAATATATGTTTATTTATCTTATCGAAAGGAAGAGTGGGTAATTCACACATTTCAAGAAGTTTAAGTTGTATGTTAAAAAACAAAGTGAGTGCAAGTTAAAGAGACTGAAAACTGATGGTGGAGGTGAATACACCTCTATGGAATTTGAATTATTTTACAACAAGAACGGTATAAAGCACGATTTTATTGCATCATATACACCTAAACATAATGGAATAGCTGATAGAGAGAGAGAGAGAGAGAGAGAGAGAGAGAGAGAGAGAGAGAGAGAGAGAGAGAGAGAGAGAGAGAGAGAGAGAGAGAGAGAGAGAAATAGAAGTATATTAAACATGGCAATGTGTATGTTGAAACCAAAAGAAAAGAAAAAGAGATTTTGGGAAGAAACAATTTCGACAGTAGTATACATACTCAACAAATCCCAACCAAGAAAATAAGGCACAAGACACCTTATGAGGATTGGACAGGACTGAAGCCAGATGTTAGTCATCTTAGAGTATTTGGATCAATGTGCTTCAGGCATGTACCTGAGCAATTAAGGAGGAAGCTTGATGATCGAAGTCAAGCCATGGTACTCACAGGTTGTCATTAAACATGTGCGTACATGTCATATTCACCAAATGATGATAAACTTGTGATCAATAGGGATGTTCTGGTGGACGAAAGTAAAAGGTGTAATTGGACTCAGGGGCCAGTTCGACATGAGAAAGAGATAACTACAATTATGCTTGAAGTAGACTAGCAAGATGAAGTCATAACAACTCAAAATGAAGAACCACTCAAGCAGAATGTTAGAAGATCGAATAGAATAAGAATCGAGTCGACAAGGATAGTTGGATATGTGAGATTT